CAGAAGTTGGTGCAATAAATATAAATTCCTTTCAAATTATACGTCTATACACATAAAGATAATATATAAATTTATACAGGTCAAGCTGATAAAAGCGATTTAAAAATATTTTAGCATCACTAACGCTTTAGTGGCTCTCAAGAATTTGCTCGTAAAGAATTTGCTCATTATGCTGGTGGTTATACGTTTAGTCCAATTTATTGCCTTGATGTTTTTGCTATCATTTATAGTTTTGCGAAGCAGTATTATTTTATATACTTGTTTATACTTTTAGTATAAATTATCGTTATTAACTAAGATTAACAGGGATCCCCAAACTAAGCTAGCAAACTAAGCACAATTTTTATTTTGGGTATATGAGTGCAAAATACCTACATCATCATTCAAAAAATAACTAAAACACCTAAAAGCAGAAAGTCAATGAAGCAGAATCGGGGTAGGACAAAACTCGTGACATAGCAGTGTAATGTATTAGTATAGTATAATGCAGCTATATTTTATATGGTAAGTGCAGAGAACCGACGACCCTTTTTACAGGTAGGTAACGAGGTAAGTCATCTTTATCCTCATCGGTCGCAACATATTTGAATTTTGATTCTTAGTGATGATATATATAGGTGTCTATGGGCCACAATATCCACTTACTATCAGGTAGACTGTGTGTTCTTTTGTCACCTCATTATTTATGCTTTGTAAGTATGGTACTTTCTTTGAAAAAGCTTACCATTTGGTATAAGGAATAAAGGGGTCAAGCACATAACCGTTTGTATATTAACGAACGCAATGCACTTTTGCAATGTCAACTTTTACAATCTTATTACGAAACGTGGTTTATTAATAGTCAATGGTTTAAAAAAGAGTTTTCGTCACATTAGAATTCCCCTAACCACGACATCTCAGTCTTCGCGAAATTTGACATTTGCTGGAAAATTTCATAATTTACATTTCAGTTCGCATATTTTCTACGGAACTTTTTTCTTGAAATATCACATTTGCCTTAGCTGCTTCCCTAGGCAGGTGGATTGGCAACTGCAGTTTTCTTTTATTATTTTGAGCTGTCATCAAGAAGATGACATGCTCATAGATACATACATCTTTCCTCGAATCGAAATGCAGATACGTTGTCACCCCTAAGAACTAAGACTGAATGCTTTGTTTCTAGTGAAAAGTGTCTCTAGTTCTCTACCTCAAGCAAACGAAACACAGCCGTGCAACTAAATCTAATTATCTAATGGAACTGTAATCTACCATGACTGGAGAGAGATCAGGTGCAGGACCTACAGCTTTACGTGTTTTCTGAGGCACGAGTGTGAAAACACCGCCAACTTCCTGACTCCGGGATGCTTCTTGACAGATAAACTCAATAAAAGATTTTTGATGGCCCGAAACGGGATTCAAACTCGGGACCTTGTGATCAGCAGTCTCGTTTACGACCACTAGACCAACGAGGTAGTCAATTGACTGGATGCACTAGTACCTACTTAATATACCACTAATAAAAAATAATATGAATTTATGTATTCAATTAAATGTTATTTACAAGATCAATATGTAATTCACATATTTTAGATCGTTGTTGGTACTGCCGGCTAAATTTTTACTTGCAAAAATTTATAAAATGTATGAAATGTTTAGCATGTTTTCCACTTACCGACGCCGGCGGTGACTCCTACTGGTGCCGTCGCCGGTGGCGTGACAGCAACCTTTCTACTCATTGCCGGCAGCCAAAACTGCATGTGTATTGTGTACGTATTGCAGCCGAGTGCGCGTGCGCGGGCCAAAGTAGAAGGGACGCGTTGAGATTGAGACTCGAAATGGACTTATGAAATGATGAAATGTCTCCTCGTTCATACGGAAGTAGATGAAATAGTTTTAGAGTCCATTTCCAACTTTTAAAATAGGGTATAATAATATGTTCCTTCTAAGTATTTTATCTTTAATATGGAATGAATTCAAAATATGTCTTCTCTGCGTTGATTATATTTTCGAATTAAATTAATAATAATATAACAAACAAATACGACGACTTGGCCAGACCATTTACGTACTGTAGAACTGAATCTGTGTTAGTACTGCCCAAAAACTGAGCGTAGACTGGCACCGGCGACGGCGCCATGGCATCCTTTTTCCACTGCGCTGGTGCCACCCAATAGAGGCATTAACATATTTTTCCTTTCTTATCCTCATTACGAATGCATAGTCCAGCTGGAAAACCACCCAATATGGTCATTAACATATTTTTCCTTTCTTAGCCTCGTTGCTAATGCCTAGTCCAGCTGGTGTTCATTCAGTTCGACTTAATGGTTAACTCTAATGGTCGGCACATAGACGCCTTGTAAATATAGTTGTTAGCATTTATTCACATAATGTGTTTATTATGTACGGCTATCTTCGGGCAGTTAAAGGCAGCTGGCGGCAGCAGCTAGCGGGCAGCATTTTTACGTGGTAGAGCCATGCTGCAGCTATATTATGGTTGTAGCACGAATGGGTCAGCTCGACCGGGGAAGGACCACGCTCTCTCAGAATTCCTAAGTAAAATAGCAGTTTAACGCTGCTGTGTTTCGTATGGTGAGTGTAGAGAACCGGAGACCCATTTTACTGGAAACGAGGCATTCCATCTTAGTCCTCACGTGTGACAACGCATCTGCATTTTGATTCTTAATCGAAGATAGATGTAGATGTCTATGAGCCACAGCAACCACTTACCATCAGGTGGACAGTGTGCTCGTTTGTCACCCTTATCCTATAAAAAAAAGCTGCATTGCCTCCAGCCAAAGTACGGTCACCCATATTATTATGTTGCTGCTGCAGTTGCTTGGAGCAATGTACGCAAAATTATTAAACGCAGGAACAAAATGGGAATAGTAACAAGAAACAAGTAATGATTTTAATGTGTGTAAAAGATCTCGGCAGCCTATGGATACTTATAGACGACTTCAATCAAAGAAGGTTACATATTCGTTGTCACATCTGATAACTTATACAGCCCTACAGCCTGTAATTACAATGAAACTCTTAACCCGATTGCCTGCGCTGCTGTGTTTATACACGCAGGCATTGCTACTCAGTGGTTTTAATTGATTTTTAGGGTTCTGTAGGCAAATGGCAAAAAACGGAATCCTTATAGATTCGTCATGCCTGTCTGTCTGTCCGTCCGTATGTCACAGCCATTTTTTTCCGAAACCATAACAACTATGCTGTTAAAACTTGATAAATAGATGTATTCTGTGAACCGCATTAAGATATTCACACAAAAATAGAAAAAAAATTTTGGGAGTTCCCCATACTTAGAACTGAAACTCAAATTTTTTTATCAAGTGCAGACGTTTGGGGTATCTATGGATATTTCTTTAAAAATGATATAGAGGTTTCTTATATCATTTTTTTCTAAACTGAATAGTTTGCACGAAAGACACCACTTAAGTGGTAAAATATGTGTCCCCCCCCCATGTAAGTTCTAAATTAAGAGAATGATAAAACTAAAAAAAAAACATAGTGTACATTACCATGTAAACTTCCACCGAAAATTGGTTGGAACGAGATCCAGTAAGTAGTTTTTTTTAATACGTCATAAATCGTAAATTATGTTACTTGCTGCTACGGAACCCTTCATGGGCGAGTCCAACTCGCACTTGGCCGCTTTTTTTGTACTTTATGAAAGTTATCCATCCATTTCAGGCTAAAACTTCCACTACTGAATATAGAACTCCCACATTAATTGTGTCTTAGGGAGATTTTGCCATAGTTGACACGTTTGGCAGGCGGATCGGCAACCGCAGATTTTTTAAATTTTTGATTTGTTATCAGCAACACGCTGCAGCCTATCTACTGTTTAAGTTTCACGTGTCGCCTTATATGACACCCAGGAAGGAAATTGTAAGTTATACTCTGTTATATTTAAGGTGTGGAATATTTAACACGATAAATGTATACGCGTTTTGTTGGAGATCACGAGAATTCCATCTTATATCTTACAGCCGACTTTTGTGACAACCTTGTGAAGGAAGTATGGTCTGTTTACTCGAAGGAGATTTATTTACGAAAAAATAAACAGCTTTCGCGCTGGTGATCGATTTAACGAGTGCAGTTTGAATTTAATTCAGATTCTGTTATTCTATTATTAAGCATGTAAATAATCATGTTCACAATGAGGCGAATTCACTCCACTTAGAGAGAAGCCCATATCCAGCGATGAATTTTCACGGACCGATGACAAAAAAGAATTTATATGTGAACAAATCTTTCATATGAACAATTCCAATGCTGCACGTTACAGTTTAATTGTTTTACTTCCTCAAATACTAATCATCTACATAATACACCCTCAAGAAGAACCTCTTTGAAAAATAGACGGATGAAGAGGTGATTCCATATTATGGTATTATGTTTTGCTGTTGTCTGACCGCCTCGTTGGTCTAGTGCTTGTAAGCATGACCACTGGTCCTGGATTTACATTTAAATTCAAATTTGGACTCACTTACTTAGATCACTAATAGTAAAACAATATTTATATGTCAAATACACAATTTACGATTAAGATTCAAATAAATCTTAAAAATAAATTTAACTAAATATAAAATACAATAAGGGTTTCATTTAATAAAAGTGTTATACGTTCTACAGACGAGAATGTATCCGTTCGAATAAAAAAAGGTGAGATAGAGATAGAAAGATATGGTAAAATTTGTATAGCAACCCTTTAACATTCGGTGCGATAATTTAACAAAAATAAACACGTTAATCCAAGCGTGACAATATGCTAGCGACCAGGCACATAGTGATGAGCTGTTTATTCAATAAAACTGCGCACATTTTGTATAATACTGTTGGACGTTAACTGTGACTTCTAGCTTAATTTGTGATTATTATTTTGTAAGAATTTTGACTTACACAAAAAAAAAATATAAACCATTTTTGTGATTTACGTGATTTAGCAAAACTTAACATTGTAAGCTGAGTTACAGATCAAGTAACGTTTTGAGTGAACGAAATTATTTATAATGTCAAATAAAACCTACAATGATCTTATTTGTGAAACATCAGAACTGATAGGAGAGACCACTCAAACAGATGAAGTAGTTTTTGTGACGGGAGCTGCTGAACGTTCTGTATTTCAGCCTCTTTTATCAGAGTTACGAATACGATATACTGTGCTGCTTTGCAGATTAGACACAATTTACGATCAATTACTGCAGCCACAAAAGCGCATAATTGTACGACGTCTTCTGGAAGCTTGCCTGGGCCGATTACTTGAGATCAAGCATGATTTGGTGGAACTTTATTTATCTGACTACACTTATGATGACGACGAGGTAATTTTTTTTTAATAATTTAACCAATTTTCTATTTTATTTTACTCTTTACTAAATAAAAAACAATTACACTATTACGTATTATCGATGTTGATATTGTTTAGAATTATAATATTATTTTGAGTATTTATACCAATATAAAAATTAAAAATACATTATATTAAAGGCTTTACAAAAATTGCAAGTTACGCCACAAGAAGCAGAGCCCTGCATACCGCAATATTTTATTCGAGAACGAGAACAAGAACTGGAAGACCGTCGAAAATTTATAATCGATACATTAACAAAGCTTGGACATGAAACTTCTAAGCCCCCATCTTTAATACTGACAGAACAACAAGCAATACTCATCATTCAAAGCCATGAAAGAGCTCGTCAAGGAAGATTAAGGTATTATAAAGTGATATTACATTATATTTCCGAAAAAGGTCTGACAGGACATGGTTATATATTTTGGTCGTAGCACGAATGAGTGGGCTCGACTGGGAAAGAACCACGTTCTTACAGTACACCAGCTTGAAATACCACCATAATGCTGCTTTGTTTTCCATAGTGTATATAATTAGAGACCAGGCATTCCATCTTAGTCCTCCGGGATGACAACGTATCTGCACTCTGATTCTCAAGCTAGGTTTAATGTAAATATCTATTGGTCATAGATCCACTTACTAACAGGTGGGCTGTGAGCTTGTTTATTACTCTTATTGTATAATAAAAGTAAATGTTACTCATACTAAACTCTAGACTTATAATCCGTTTGGATTATAAGTCTAGTAATTTATATGATAGTTCTACCATCCGTAGACCGGCAAAGTATTTTTCAAAAATAGCTTTTAATGTATATGTAGGAAGTATAATGGGTATAGTACAGAGACTAATTTTGTAGTTAGGAATAATAATTAATTCGTTTACACGAATTAATTATCCAATGAGTCGAGGATAAACTAGTAACGGAATACGATAAGTGTACCGTTCCACGTCAGAGCCAAGACTGTCCCAACGGCGGCCGCTCAGTCCGTTTTATACAAGCAGGACGGGCGGTAACGCAGGTGCGATGCCGCAGGTGTGCGGTACACGTGTCGTTTACAACAATTCTGTCTTGCTAGACCGACGCCACCGCATCTACAACGGTGCAGGTGCCGTCATATATATGATATAAAATTATAATATGTCTGCCTCTGTTGTAACACGACACTCGGTATTACGTGCGTAAATTACTACTTTTTACCTTGGATAAAATTACTTTTCCTGGATATTCTAGCTTAACATGATACATTAAATTTAAAACAGTAACAGTTTCGATTTAAAAATTGCACAAAATTTAATGACAACTAATTTTTGGACAGATTATTGGGTTACTACGCCACGGGTTCTATTCGAACCTCATTCAAACCAACAATTGTTCAAAATTGTTGGTTTTAGAGACTTTTATTTCGCACTCCGCGTCCTATATTCAATAATATCGTATAATGGTTACATTGAGTAAAGTAACACCTTCATACCCTTTAAAAGTTGTCGCCAATATCAATATTCACGTAGGATAATATTTTCCACACCAATAAAATATTCACAATAACAAAAAAAAATTATTCAATTGCTTTGGAGTTTATTTCATGTAACGTGTGACATGCATAGTGCTACATTTATTGTATATTTATGTGCATAAGTAATTTTTAAATAAACATTACCCCCAAAGTAGTATAATATTCTCCATTAAAATACATGTAACATTTTCTCGAGTATTTTTTTTTATATTTTTTTTATTTTCTTCCGTAGTGTGAAGGCTATTTACATACATCAATTGCATGAGGACAAATAGACCCGCAATAATTATTAGGCCATACAAATACTTTCTCCCTGCGGGATTCGAGCCTTAGTATTTTTAATTTAAATTTTTGATAAATTTATATAATTATAAAACACTTCTCAACAAAATACAAAATTTAAAAAAGAAAGAATGAAACAAATTTATTCTTTGGTACTATACACTTCACATAAATAAAAAGGGGTAAAGTAGGGCAGTTTAGACTACAAGTGAAGTGGTGTGTATCGAGCCAGTGAAAAGTTATGACTCAGCTTAATGCAGCAGGATAACCCACAGCGCTGATGATTCTGTCTTAACCACAGATACTCACACGATCTGCCTAATTGTATATTTGAAATATATTATATATTTACTGTTATAAATTAAAAAATATTAAAGTGATTCATAAATATATATATATATATATATATACAATTTTCACAGATACACACACGCATACATACGACACTTAATATACACGTATATTCTATTTAACTCCCGACAGAACAATCACTACATAAAAACCGTAGACAGATCAGGAAATAACAAAGTGTATACAATGAAAAAAAATATTAATTCCAAACTAATTATCCTTTTTAATAAATTATAGAGGCCAGTTTATGAAGGAAATACGCTTGTTGAAAGAGAAAGGTAGGGATCAGAAAGGTGAAATGTCAGCTACAGCAGCTACTGCTATACAACGTGTTTGGCGGGGTTTTATTACGAGGAGAATGACTAAAAGAAGAAAGCGTGAGGAGCAGTTGCTCATTGGGATGGAATTACCTCCATATACTGAATCCCAAGCTATAAAGAAGGCAGAAAAGGTAAGAAATAATAGTTATATTAATTTAATAAAACTAATATCACTTATCCGTAGTGTTTGTTAAATCATGACTGATTGAAGTCATAATCACACATTTTTTTCGATATAATATCTCGAGACGATGGTGATATCTGAGATCAAGTTTTAAAAATAGTATATTTATGTATCAGTATATTTATGTATCAAAATAACTCTTATACAAAATATTATTTGTTTAAATGCCAAAAAATAATATTATATACTCCCAATCTCTACAACCATACTAAATGTAATTAAGAAATAAACTAACAATTTATCGCACCACCGACCTTATAGCAACTTCCTATAGGACAGAACAACGTCTGTCGGAACAGCTAGTAAATATAATAAATTTTGTTCAATTAGGTGAAAGAAAGTCGTCGAACTCTACAAAATAAGCTTGAAATTGAATATCACGAAGCACTTGTCAGAATAGAAAAACGATTGCACTCTCAGCATAAAGCAAAAATTAGTGAAAGAATTGGAGATGAATTAAGAAGGTGGATTTTGGAATACTACGAAAGAACAAATAGACTCCCGGAATTTCCTTCAGAAGAAGCTGGTGGAAGTAGAACTATGTTTAGTAGACAAGGTAGTTTAAGCAATTATATTGTACCTTTAAAGTAGTGTTAGATTCCATTACTCTCTCTTTCTCTCTCTCTCTCTCTCTCTCTCTCTCTCTCTTTCATCTTTAGTATGCATACCATCTAAAATTTATATAATTAAGTAATATATCGAATTAAATGTAAAGGTACAGGCGTAGAAAGCGAGCTTAGCAAATCTTCTCCTGTGTCATCAAAAGAATCTAAGAAAAGCAAAGAAAGTAAAGACAAAAAGAGCAGCAAAGCTGAAGATAACAAAATTAAGGATGAAATGGAAGATTTACAAAATTATAAATGTACAAGTTCAGCATTTTTACAGGATATCATCAGTGCCAACGAAGAGTGAGTTATTATTGTTATTACTTATAAAAAATCGGTGTAAAATCACCTATTAAGACCTATATTTTAATGAACTATTTTTTTAACTGTAGTCACAAACGAAATTACAGTCCACCTGACCGTTCATAGACGCCGCCAGACAACTACAAAGAAAGAAGACTACAGAGTCTCACAGCCCTTAAATAAAGTAACTTTCTATACCCCTCGGACCAAAACAATTGAATGCAAGTACTGCTAGTTGGCAGCAGAAATAGGTAAGAGGACCTACCACCAGGGAAGATGGTATATTATTATAATACAAAAATTATGAATTGTCGGGTTCGATGTATTGTTCGTCCTCGTATTTTAAGTCTTCGTATTAATCACATATATTGGATACGACAAGGAAATCATAAAATAAATTTTGTAAAATATAGAGTTGATTTACATACAGCGGTGGTTTACAGTAAGTGAATGCTTTATTTCTTACGCTAAGATACAATGCAATTGTATAATGAATAATAGTCACAGTTAATACTTTATCCATTCATAGAATGAATCCTGAATCTAATTTATTTATCTATCCTTTGTCGCACAGAGAAATTATATTGCAATAAATATATAATATCTGCTCCTCTGTACTGTAAAAAACCAATAGAGTTTTTGATAATTCTTCCATGGATATAACTAATGATAAACGTATTTAACAAGCTTATGGCTGATATTTCAATTATCAGATAAGCTATCCATAAAATAAGTAGGTTATAATTTACCTCACAAAATATAAAAGCGAGACAGTTGAAATCTTTTATTCCTGCAACTATACGAGTATTTTTAATTTGTTTTCGTTGTATTAATGACTTTGAATTCATCATTGAAAAATTTCCGTTTGTATATGATAATTTGCTTATATTATATAAATGCAGATCAATAATAATATTTTTACCACGATTTTATTATACAATACAATACAATACAATAACTTTATTTCAGGCATCAAGGACTTATAAATTAAGAACATTGGCCCATAGCAATATATACCTTAACCTAAAAATATATATAAAATATAGACATAACTTAACACTATTTAGGGAACTTTTTTCTTTGGCGCGTCCCTGTATCGGCGAAACACTACCCCAGAGGGCCAGAAATCGGGAGCGAGGAATGTCTCTTTATGTTTTGCAGGAACCTGGAGTACGTAGGATTTGAAGTTCGTTGACCTATTAGACTCCAGACGCTGCAAATGTAAAGAGATCGGATCCTCAATGCGGCATCGGCTTCGTTCTTCCACGAAGCGCAGGACGTCTTCTCCCGACGTACTTTTGTCCAAACGGGAGATGTAGAGTTGTATAGTTGGCTCCACAGCACGCAGAGTTGTACTCGCGTTTATTTTCGCGGTCCCACGCTGGTTACAGACGGGTCGCGACCGACGTCTCTTCTCAACAAGAGTAAACCCGTCCTTATCAATCTTGTCTTGGGTCACCACTGGAACTGATTTTATTTCCACATTCTTCCGCTTTCGACCACAAGAGGGTGCCGGTTGCAAAGATTTTCGGGCAACATCCGCAAACGTCTTCCCTTGTTTTGAGGTTGGCTTCGGCGGAGGAATACCAATAGGTTCAGTCAAGGGTTGAGGTGGTGATGCAATGACGACCGAGGTCGCCCTAGTTTCTCGGTCATCAACCCGCTGAAAGACGGTATCGCGTGACGGAGTCGCAATCATCGGTGAAATATGAGTACTATTACGGTTACCGCGTGTCGTATTCACATTCTGCGACGGCGGTGAATTTGCAGATGTTGCAATTATGTTGCGCAACATATTGACTTCGTTCCTCAGCTCTGTTGCGGCTCGTTCTGATTCATCAAATTTGGAACGGATGTCGGTAATATCGGCTCTCAACGTGGTGATGTCTTTCAACAATCTGGTGACGTCTACGTGATCGAACGTCACGGGAGGCAGCTTGTTGAGATCACGCGCGACGAAAGTTGGAATGTCATCAGGGTCGGTCTCATTGAACAGCCTGAAGATGTCTTGCAGGTCTTTCTTACCGCGTCCATCCCTGTGACGTGTGATAAGACGGATTTGGGTCACGGCTGAATCTGCTAACACCTTCTTCGCTTGGATGATCTCGTCCTCGGTGAAGCTTGTCATCAGTATCTGCTCCAGAGACACCTGGTCCATGACGTCCAATTTTTGTTGAACAAAGGCCAGGAACTCGTGGATTACGACGGTTTCGGAACGTTTAGGTTGGCACGCCATTTCGAGTTATTTTTGCGCAGTAGGTATGCTTACGCTACAAAAATACTGTAGGTTCGGCATTAGAGCCGTCACGTCAATATGAAGCGACTGCACTAACCGGTAGTAAAATTGCGACTATTTAAAACGAACAGCTGTTTTCGTATGGGCTGTTTGTTTTAAATTTAGTTATTTATTTTATATTAACTTTTCGACGAGCTAGAGACATGGAATTTTGAACATAGCTCAAAATCGGATAACAATGTAATAATATTTTTTGAAATTAATATTATAATTTAATATGTACATTGGATCACATATGACAAATAATGGCATGAATAATGTACACTTATCGTTTTAGATTTGAAGATATATGGAAATATAAAGACGATGATTATGAACACCATGAAAAATATTATAAAGATATAATTGAAAGCGATAAAATGGTAAAGATAGAACAAGAGATAAGAAATAATGTCGATGAAATGATGAGGAGTGAACTTGAGTTATTACAGGCAGCTTATGATCGAGATAGGTCACATAAGGGAAAGAAAGCGAAGAAACCTCAAAAAAAGGTTGTATAAAAATATTTTTTAATTTAGTTTAATCACCCCTCTTACTCATTAAGTTTATAGAATCAGGCGTTACTTAACGGAAATTCATAAATTAAAAGATGTAAAAATAAACATTCTAAGATCTGGGTGCAAAAATAAAATCAATGGATATCATTATCTAACTTATAAAGTAACGTTTACGTTTATTAGGTAAAACGTGGGGGAAAAAAAAGTAAGAAGAAAAAAGAAAAAGATTTAACTCCCGACAGAACAACCGAGTCACTATTTGAAGAACTAGTAGCAAATGGTATAATACGCCCATATCCAATAGTGAAGATTGACGACTACATAGGTGAAAAAAACTTTGTGGGATCAGAGTTAAGAAGCCAAGGTCGAGAGCCCACACCTTGTTTGGGTGATATACGTCAGCTTATAAAGGAGTATTGTATACTACCACTTGGATCAGAACATGTCAGAACCAATGCACCTCAGATAAGATCTGTACTGATAACAGGTAAGTCATTTTCATAAAGCTAATTTTACGGATTTTATCATTTTTAATTTTAACATTTATAATTACCAACTTTCGGTTTACATTTACTTTCGGTTGATTTTTTCTTATTTTGAAATTTATTTTCATTTGATGCAGGCTAGGATTTAGTGTGATCAGTGTTTCAGATTTCCACTAGAGACTTATAGACTTAAAGTTTGTACGATATCATCATAATTACAGTCCAAAACTAATTCCTCTGCTGAACATAAGGCATTCTCCTGAGCAGCTTGCATCCATTGACCTCCTGCATATCGTATCAGGTTGTCACTCTATCTAGTGAGGGGCACCCGTCATATATCTTTTTGGTACGAGACTGCCACTTAAGAACCTTACTTCTCCTTCGGTTGTTTGATATAATACGTGATAAATTTACGGATTTCTTCGATGACGCAAATATTATTTTAGACTTTTATATTTTCAGGACCTTCTGGTAGCGGTAAGAAAATGCTCATTCATGCTATTTGTAGTGAAGTTGGGGCAATGCTTTTTGATTTAACACCAGCGAATATTGTTGGCAAGTACCCTGGCAAGTCGGGTCTCATAATGTTAATACATTTAGTAATGAAGGTATCGAGACTTCTCCAGCCGAGCGTCATTTGGATGGATGACGCTGAAAAACCATTTGTGAAAAAAATACCTAAAACCGATAAAACCGATCCAAAGAGGTTAAAGAAAGATTTAGTGAAAATTATTAAAGGTAATATTGTGATTTATCTTAATGAGATTTGTAAATTCCATTTAAAAGTATATATTTCGCAGTCAATTAGCTTAATTAACCTTTCAGTTTACAGCCTAGCCTTTTTACTAAACGGCTCCGTTTATCAAGTAGTCTGAATGACACATATATTACTTTTATAATATCTCACACAATGATAATAATTAGAAACCAATTAAATGTACAGATGTAAAAAAATAGACGATGTTTGTTAAAAATTAGTGTCGTATTTTTTATTAAGATATATTTTTTTTGTATGAGTAACTACTTTTTGACATCTATTTCTTTCATTCCCTTTTACTTAGAAAATTATTGTATTGTACTAAAAATGTTCCTTTGATTTATTTGAATTTTAATAAAGAATATTAATTTTCTGCCGACTTCCAAAAAGGAGCCGGTACTCAATTCGACTGTATGTTTTTTTTTTCGTTTTTTTTTTTTTATGTGTGTTACCTCAGAACTTTTTTCTGGGTGAACCGATTTCGATGATTCTTTTTTTATTTGAAAGCTGGTACTTCTCATGTGGTCCCATATGAATTTGATCAAGGTCAGACCAACAGTTTTTAAGTTATTCTTAAATAACTTATATTGAAGTCGGCTGTACAAAATTTTTAATTTTAAATTATTCTTATGTTCACGTCGAAATATACATTGTTTAAGTAAGAAATAAAAAAAATTAAAAAAATACATAATATGACGAAAATGATACGAAAAGCTTTAAATTTAGTTATTATATTATTTTAGTTCATATTTTTTTCAGGAATATGTCCAGAAGATCGAGTTTTATTTATAGGAACGTCGCGAATTCCTTGGGAAGCCGAACAGAAACTGCTCTTCCAATGTTATTCTAAAGTTATTCAAATTCCAAGAGCTGATTACGGAAGTATTTCACTTATGTGGAGAACAAAACTTCATAAAGCTGGTGCTCTGTCTCAGAGGTTGGATGTTTCTTGTTTATCAAGGGTTTCGGATTCGTATACAATAGGTATATTCAAACAGATTTATTTACAGTACATATGATTTTTTCTTATGCTGTTATATTTAACTTTTCTGTTTCTTCTCAACGCATAAAATTTAACGTACGTAAGTTAACGACAATTATGGGAAATGAAAACATCTTGTGGCCTCCGTTAGTTGGTATTTTAAAAATGTCATACAATTTTCCACATGTAATCAAATACCAATATATTTCCCGCGCATTGTGAACACACCAAATCATCCCCCAGTTGGAAGTCCGGACCGATACGACTTAGGGACCTTCAAGAAAAGAGCGTACTCCTTTTTAAAAGGCCGGCAACGCATCTGCGATTCCCCTGGTGTTGCAGTTGTTCATGGGCGGCGGTAGTCACTTACCATCAGGTGAGCCGCATGCTCGTTTGCCCCCTCTCCTATAAAAAAAAAGTCACATGTCCAACTGTGGATAGTAACGTTTTTTCTATAGAATGAGGGTAAGAAATGAGTACACCGTCTACCTGATGGTATTCCATTTACATCTACATTTATTCTTGATTAAGAGGACTAAGATGAAATATCTATTTTCGAGTAAAACGGATTGGTAAAGAAAAAGTCATTTCTTGTAAATATTAGAGAATACTTTAAATTATAGTGAATAATAGTATTTTTCACTATAATCTCTCTTATAACTAATTGCCAGACCATCGCCAGACTGAATTTCAGCCTTGGCGGCTAATTTTTCCGTGAATGGATGTTTGTTTACATATAAATATTATTTCATCGTCATCATCAGCCCTTAATGAGTTACGCTTGGCAGGTGGATTCAAAACTGCACCAGACGTTTTGGATCGTTAATTTCGTATGGCATTAACAATATTTACCTCCATCTATCGGAAGCTACAAGGCTATATGGTCTATTCGGCTCATCCCATAGCATCTCTTACGATATCCACGTGATGAGATAATTTGATGGAACCTCTTACGCCATCACCAAATGATATAATTACCATGTATATCTGTATAATGTATCCAATATACCGCAGAAAATCCTACTGTATGGATAAAATCTTTATAAGAAAAATATTTTGACAAACTTGTCACTTCCTTTTTCTTTTGTAACAAAATAACCTTATAATATTTAGTAACGGTCTACTGAACCATTCTCTTATTTTGATATAACAAAATATGAGAAAATAATACAAAGGTATTTACTGATGCGTGTAATTACTAAACAAGAATATTACTAGAATGTGTAGTATGACTCTACAAAAAACTATTTATGTATCTGGGCACTATTAACAAAAAGTATTCTGCAAGAAATAAACGATAATTGGAAAACGGTTCTTACAAAGAAGAAAAGAAATCGAATTAAAGTAAGTGTGTTTTGTTTTCTTAAAGATTTTGTGCACATTTTGTATAGTTTAGAGATTGGAATTCATCGTCCTTGAGCATTAAAACATTGAAAGTGATAATAAAGAGCATAGCTACGAATTGGCTTTTCGTTTCATATTAAGCTTTCTTTGAGTACAAAATGAGGGCAACGGTAGCTCAGAGATTAAGCGCTCGCTTTAAATTTTACAGTACGCTAACAACCACCAGCGTCATTGAAATTGTAAATTTCAATTTTAAGTGCTGATGTAGTATGTGCTCGGTGATTAAGAAATTCATCGTGAGAATACCTAAGAAACTAAATCTTGTGAGGATACATGTGAAGTCTGCTAACACGAATTGAATAATGATAGCAGGCTTATGCGCGGCGGGGCGTATTGAGACTGTAACTTAAGTTTTAAGAACAAGACGGTTATCTTTTCAACTACCTTCAAAAAATGAGGAGTTCATAAATTCGACTGTATTTTTTTGTGTTACCTCAGAACTTTTTTCTACGTGAACCGATTTTGATGATTCTTTATTTGATAACTGTGTTCCTCATATGGTCCCATATAAATTTACCACTCCATGCCATACAGAGTTAACAATTTATAAATATATTCCAGCCTTGATTCACTCAGGTTGATATCCTCAACCAATACTTAATATTAAATCGGAATTAATCAACCTTACAAAAAATAAATAAACTATAAATAAATTTAATATTCTTAATGTTAAATATAATATAATTATCAAAGTAAGAAAAAAGTAAAAAAAGAAATACTGCAAAATATTAAAATCCGTAACACGTTTAGCAAAACAAAAAACAAATATAAAATTCATTAAAAATAGTAACAACAAAAATAAAGCTACATGGTACTTAATAAGAAAGCAAACCACTTCACAAAACATATTCAAAACAACTATTAAAAATGTGACCATTGATAATACTAATATCACGGATGCAGGGGCTATAGCAGAAGTTTTTAACACTTATTTTGCTACCATTAACACTCAAACACAAGCCACAGATACCTACCCTCTACCATCTACACATCTACATAGCCTATATTTATCACCCGTTGACGCAAATGAATTGAAAAAAATAATCACAAACCTGAAAAATAAAAAGAGTTGCGGCTATGACAATATATCGATCCAAATTATTAAAAAATCCATAGAGTATATTAGTGAGCCGCTTGTTTATTTACTTAACTTAATGATAGAAACTGGTACCTTTCCACATGAATTAAAAACAGCAAAAATCAAACCTTTGTTCAAAAAAGGTTCAAAATGTAATATCAAAGACTATAGGCCCATAGCTCTTTTATCCAACTTCTCAAAAATATTTGAAAGAATCATCTACGATAGGATTATAGAGTTTTTCAAAAAATATAGTATAATAAATAAAAATCAATTTGGTTTTCAGAAAAATAAATCCACTACACTTGCAATGTATGAAATACTTAAGGAAATTTGGGAATCTTTAAATAATAAAACTTCTTGTGTAGGTTTGTTTTAGATATGTCAAGGGCATTTGACTGTGTAATATACGATGTACTATTAAATTAACTTGACAAATTAGGTATACGTGATTTGGCATTAAAACTGTTAGAAAGCTATTTAAAAAATAGAGAACAACTCACAGCTATTGAAAAATTTGACAAAATCAGTAAAACTTTCGAAGAAGTACAGTCCAAGCCAGTTAAAATGACACTAGGTTTGCCACAGGGGAGTATTTTGGGCCCTCTGTTATTCTTAGTTTATATGAATGACTTGCCAAATGTCACTGACAATAGATGTGTTATGTTTGCTGATGATGCAACTATCTTTATACCCGATACTCAAATGAATTTTGAAAATAACATAAATAAAACCTTAAAAATAGCAGTCGAATGGCTTAATAAAATTAATTTAAACGTAAATCTAACAAAAACTAAAATTATTCAATTCAGAAATTACAAAACAAAATCTTTAAATTTAAATATTGCAGATAAAGACACCCAAATAGAAACAGTTGATAACATTAATTTTCTTGGAGTCACCATAGAGTGTCATTTAAACTGGAAATCCCACATTGAAAAAATAAACAAAAAAATATCTAGCTATAGTTACGCATTATCCATATTAGCAGAAACAACTTCCGTTGATGTATCAAGGGCTGCATACTTCGGCCAGGTATACCCTCTATTAGTTTACGGCATTATTTTCTGGGGTAATTCTACAAACGTGCAGTCAACATTTATTCTACAAAAGCGATGTCTGAGGATCATTTATAATATGTACTCAGACGAAACTCTAAGAAATGTATTCAAAGAAAAAGGTTATCTCACTCTTACTAATATTTACATTTTAGAAATTTCAATTTTTATCAAACAGAATAACAAATATTTTCAGATTAAATCAAACTTGAATTCACGTCCAATACGTAGTCAATATAAGAACAATTTATGTACACCTAAAATTAATAATTACATGTATTATAAGAGCACTTTTTGTACAGGTATTAAAATATTCAATCATCTGCCACCTAATATAAAAGCTATGGACTTGCCAAGATTTAAAATACACCTCAAGAAGTGGTTAATATATAATGTGTTTTATAATTTAAATGAATATTTTAATACCAAACATTAATTTATATAAAGTTTTATTTCTTAATTATTGCATACCCGATATGGGTAAACTGTGTAACATTTAATTGCAATGTCACCCGCAAATTGTACATACACAGCTTATTGGCAATAAATATTCTGATTCTGATTCTGATTCTGATTCTGAAGTAATCATATTTAATAAAAAAAATTAATATGAAAATTTATTTTTTATATAAATATTCTCTTGCTATAATTATTACTATACAAATCCAAATTATTATTTTTTATAGAATAGGGTGACAAACGAGCACACAGTCCACCTGATGGTAAGTGATTGCTGTGACCCATAGACATCTACATCTATCCTCAATAAAGACTCAAGATGCAGATGCGTTGTCACCCGTGAGGACTAAGATGGAATGCCTCTTTGCCAGTAAAAAGGGTCTCCGGTTCTCTACACTCACCATACGAAACACAGCCGCGTTAAGCTGCTATTTTACGCTGGTTTTCTGTGAGAGCGTGGTCCTTCCCCGGTCGAGCCGACCCATTCGTGCTACAACCTATACTACTAATTAGCTGCAGCATGGCTCTAAAACGTAATAAAATCAATCCAAAAGAAATTAAATCACAACCTTTTATATATCTTAAATTACAAAAATTATTAATATTTAAACTTAAACTTATAAAACTTTAATTGCTGAATTTGGTGTTCCGCGGTGGTTTCTCCAAAAATTGCCTAATAGGGGCGATACCATAGTTGCCACGCTTGGCAGGTGGTTTAACAACCGCAGCATTTTTACTTTTCATTTTCCTCTGTCGTTCTCGCCACACTCACGGGATTACATGGGGTAGTGGATTCTCTTTAACAGTAACTACATACGAATTAGAATATAAATTATCTTCTATAAGAATTATCATTATAGTTAGGTAGAGAACAAATCAGTTTATCAGATATTAAAATGTATGATGCCTTTACATAGGTTCTTTGCTATCAGTGTTGGACGATGTTCTTACTACCAAGAGACGCCTGCAGCTGAGAATTCGCGCTCTCACGGCGCAAGAAATTGCGGTTCAGCTTAGTTTTCGAGATCCAGTGTATGCAGAACATGTAAGTAGTTGTGTTCGAAGGCTGAGTAGAAATATTTTTTTTTTGTAAAATAGGTTATGGTAAATGAAGATGTAATCCATACTCGATACCTAGCCTCGATAAGAAGCCCAAAATTAGATGTGTAGTTGTCCCTGAGGAATAAGATAAATGCATTATTCTCTACGAGTACACTTACTATATGAATGGGTCGGCACAGCTTAGGAAGGAACATGTTCTATGTGAACATGAACATGTGAATGTTATCTGTGAGAACATGTTCCTTCCTCGGCTTTTTACTGCAAGCGAGGTAAAAAAAGTAGCTTTCAACTCGCCTGCCAAGCGTAGCATCTTTGGCAATTTCTCCCTATTACTTTTTATAGTCTTTTGTGTTGTGTGTTATTTTTGGTAGGCTGTAATGAATAGATCGAATCAATGAATGAGCTTCAAAGTTTCATGTTGTCTAGTGGCGGAATAATAACATACAATAAAATTGTAAATTTTGAAAAGACTCTTAAAACATAGGCGGGTGTGACACTCTCATAAATTTAATACGAAAAAAATTGGGAATAACATATCGTTTTCAATGTTTTTTAATTTTGATTCAGGACGTTGCTGCTGAAATGTGGTGGTCCAAAACACCTTTAGAAAGACGTCGCCAAAAAGTACTCCAACGGCTTGAAGAGCTACAACAGGAGAATGAAGAAAAAGCTCTCAAATAAGTATATTATTATATAACATATAATTATTAGATGTCGGTTTCGGAAGGAAATCCATTATCATAATGGAGATCATATCCTCCGTTTCGCTTTTATACATTTTATAATCATCTAAATTACGACAGACAGTAAAATTAAAGAAAGGCAACAGGATGGAGCGTTAAAAGTACAAGCTGTCTTGTGGCTTTCCATCCGTAAGCCAAATCGATATGGTAAATCCTTCTTACAGTGATATCCAGCAGGGGACTTGGTTATTAAAGATGAAACTTTGTGGTTTAATTGAATATAGCACCAACACATATTTTGAGAGATTTAGTTGTATTTTGAAATAATATAAAATGGAATCGTATTGAAAATTTTGATAAATACACTCTTAAAATTTCTTATTTGTTTTATTTAGATAAGTCTTACTTTGTATAGTTAAGTTTTAATAAAAATAATTCTTGTAATTATACAAAATGGTTTTCCACAATTCTGCAGTATCAAAAAAGTTTGTAATGCACTTTTGATGGCAAATGTTTGACTTTTATATCCTTGGACACCTGCAGTCAACTCGCAACAAATGGTAAAGGTGCGTTGTCACTCTTAAGAACTAAGATGGATTACCTGACAGCCTTTAATTATTATGCAGTTAAGTACCACATTACGATGTAATGATACATGTCATCTTACAAAGTAATAACTATCAGAAATTAAGTGTAATATCTTGGAACTCGTAATACTTTTATTTTTTACTACTACTTTCATATAAAATGAGACAAACATCTTGGAGAACTAAATCATGCACTTAATAACTTTTTACTTTTAAATACATAACTTATAATAACTTTAAAATTTGAAACTGTAGGTGATAAAGAAACATATATACAATTTACGGATAATTGTAGCTTAATTCAGTTAGCTATTGGACTGTAATAACTTATTTGAGTGCCCTAGACGTAACAAAACCAAATTGAGTGCTCCGCGGTGTTTTACGCATCATCACTACCATATCAAACGATACTGTATACATTACGCCAATTTAAAAAAGTAAAAAACATTAGTAGAATAAAATAGCACAGATCTTAATAAACGAATTAGCAATTGAAAACCGAATTAATATTCCACTCTTGTCAAAAATTCGCGTGAGAAAATTTACAGCTGCAGTCTGCGTCGACATCATCTCAAAGTCGATTCTTATTTTTTGCTTCGAAATTTAACTTCGTAAAAGTAATGCCATTTCCACTGCTGACAGTTTTCTCCGTTCAAGACATTAAATCAATCAATCCAATGACTCCTAGCTATCTGAAGGAAAACTTTAAGTTTCTTGGTCATGACAGACCGGATAGAGATTCTACGGTCAGCCGGAGAACTTATACTCGCGCCACATTCTCATCGAACTAAATACTTTAAGAATTCCTTCACAGTTAAGGCCATGTGCTTATGGAATGATCTTCTTCCGCAAATCCGTGGTGCGAAAACACTAGAAAAGTTTAAGACTGACATTCAAAATTACTACCTAACAACGCATTAACCACTGGTCATCATTTGCAACATTAATTTTTTGTATCGTCTGTATTTATTTATGTAATTTTTATGTATATTTGCCTATTTAACCTTATGTATGTCCATATTTTAATGTATATATTAATGTATTAAATATTTTGGTTATTATGTATCGGTATAGTTTATTTAGGTATTAGTATGTAAGTTTACTATAATATACACCATCTCCCACTGTCCAATAGTAGAATTTTTTCCTAATTTTAAGGTTGTCTGGAAGAGATCACTTTTTAGCGATAAGACCGCCTTATTATACCTACCTCTTAAGTTTTACTCCTTGTAATTTGGTTTTATTTTCTATCGTTTTTGTTTTGTACAATAAAGTATATAAAATAATAATAATAATTAATCAATATCCTTTGATTGCTCCGTAGCTCACTGTCTAAGTATCTGGCTGCAGTGATATGAAGGTTTGCTAAGGTGTGCAGAAAAAATTGATCTTATCTCTGCAGTATTGAAATTTATTCCTTAAATTAAAAAATGCAAAATTAAATTATTTAATCTTCTTCATTAGTTAAACTATGAAGAAATTGAAGCATTACGTACAAGTTAGTATTGCTTTTTATGTATGCATGTCATCATGCATTCAACATATTATACAATCATGCATTCAACATATTATACGCAAAAAGAAGATATATTTTAATAAACATTTTAATAATTTTCTTTTTGTTATGATTAATTTCCATACTTTATTTGTTGTTATAACTTCTATTTGAGTTAAACTTGTGTTAGTCTTAAAGTTGGTAAAAATTACTTCGCGTACATCCGCTCGATGAAATAAAATGATGTGTCTTACCTAGTTTGAAGAGCACCTCCCGCCCTCCCTCAATAGCGTGCACTATCCCCGTCACCACTAATCCCAGCACTACTACTCCCAACACCACTACACTAGGAAAGACATACCACTGACGACAATACGACACTTGTTTCATCTCTACACGAGGCATCTTTAGGTGATGTAGACTCTGCGGTGGCTGACCGCTAAATTTAGCTTACTTAGTGGTAGCAACTGTTACCAACTTTAACACTTTCTTTGTCCGGTTTTTAGACACAATAGTAAGACAATAGCAATGACCTATATGTAGTACACGGGACAGCGAAAGGGTTAATATAATGGATTTCCGAAAAGTAACGTCTGATTCTATTAATTGTGTTATCTGTTAACATAACATAAGGAAATACAGAATATGTTTATCTATTTTAGACACAGATGTTTCATCATTAATTGTAAACTAAGTATAGATCATAGAGTAGTTATTTATAAATTTGATAGTTATAGTATTATGAATATGAAGTACTATTATTTAAATTAAGTATGACTGATGTTTCCTTACTTCACTTTTAATTGGTGGCATTTTACTTTTTATATCCAAATTATAGCAATAAACCTATTTATTGTAATATAAGGTTATACATCGTTATGTGATGAGGGTGTGGTAAGAAGAAAATAATATGGAAAATCAGAGAAACCAATAAAAAAACAACTACGAAAGATTTCGTAATTTATGATTGTACTGTTTTCTCATTTGATGTACCAAATGTAATAATATGTGTATTAAAGCCATGATACGTTTGGTATTGGGATCGTTTATCCATCTGAAAAGGTTGGTGATTAAGACAAATTCCTTGATTACCCGCAGGTGCGATAGTATTCTGCCCTGCACTGACGCTGGTATAGTACTGGCTTATGACAGCTAAGAAAAAATATTTTTACAATATTATAAAATAAAATAATCTTTAGACATATTTTTATCAGCTTAGCTCTTAATATGATGAAATAGAATTGTGTCAAGATTAATTTAAGCATAAATTTAACAATCTGTACTGGTTACTCTCTTGTTGTGAAATAGGCATTAATTTGACGGTCTTCGTAAAGGATGGGTAATATGAATCCTAGAAAACCTCATAACGTCTGACAGAGGACAATAATTTATGCTAACTTCGTTTGACTGAAAATGGAAAAAAGCAATTCAAATTTGTTGTACCGTGAGATATATGGGCCTGTTTGTTTTTGGGCCTGTTACATCTATCCTCGATTACGAATCAAAATGCAGATACATTGTCAGCCGCGAGGATTATGATGGAATGCCTCGTTTCCAGTAAAAGGGGGTTCCGGTTCTCTACACTCACCATACGAAACACAGCAGCATTAAGGTGCTATTTTACGCTGGTCTTCTATAAGAGGATGGTCCTCCCCGGTTGAGCCGACCTATGGGTGCTTCAACTGTACTAGTAATATAGCTGCAATATGGCTCTACCACGTACAAAAGAGTTTTGACATGGATGGGATTTAACGGGAACTTCAAGGCAGCGTGAGCAGTCTTGCCTCCCTCCAACAGTGTTGCTGCGATTCCTGACGATGCGACAGCTAAGACAATGCCACGATTACTCCTTACTTTTGCCAATATTAAATTGATAAGGAATCTTTTTCCAGCGCCACCAGGAGCATCTATAAAAAGTATTTTTTAAATTTCTTTCTCAATATTGCCAAGGATCTGCAGATAAACGTAAAACTGTTCATTCGTCAATAACTCCTCATTCGAGGACACTACTTCTCTCAGAATACCGAGGTCATAATTGGTCTCCCTCAGATATTCTCGATTACCGAAAGTTGCTGCAATCCATATTGTGCCACGTTTTGTCCTACTTGAGCTAACACTGCATCCTCGATCAATATTAAGCATCTGTTGTACACTTTGTATATGAGCAGTTGCGCACTATCTTGCAATTCTCTCTCCAGATGCCCTTTAATGTCTTCCGAGAGACTGTCTTTGTATTTCTCCTAAAGACTTAAAGGATCAGAGAGTTGACAGAAAATTAACATTATTGAAAATAGCTCTCGTAGCTTGAAAGGAGAATCGCTCAATGCAACTTCCTCTAAAGTAGTGTCCCAATGCTTGTCGTCTTTGAGCAATCCAAGAGTCTTACATGTAGTCTGAAATGTTGGATGGAGGATACCATTCACAGTCTTTAAGTCTTCAAAAGATGTCGGTCCCCTAACCTCATGGAGCAGCAGGCGTAGGTGTTAGCACTCGAAGTTGATTGGATGAATGGTGTAGACCCTACCCAGAACGTGCACTTTTCTCACTCTCCAGCCCTCTACAATTTGCCCTCTTTTCCTTCTAGAAAATCTATTTTTGTTCCAGACAAAGCAAGAAGGGACTTCAGAGTACAGCAGTGTCTTGGCATAATTGTACGTTTTGCAGATTTCAGAAAACACACTTAAAAAGAAGTATAATTCCGCCTCCAGGTCCTTCAAAAGCGTCATTGCCAGGGCAAGGTCTGAGCACATCGGCAGAATTGGCGAGAAGCTAGTTCGCCTTCCTTCGGGAACCCGTGCATTCTGGTCTCTCGCCAAGGCTGTCCAAGGGAACTTCTGTCAGCCATCCCTTCCATCTCTGCACAGAGAGGATGACTCACTGGCCCATGCCGCAAAAGAGAAAGCCGATCTGTTGTGC